TATATATATATATGAAATCTAAATGTGTATTTGATAATCATAGCAAACCATTAAGTAACTTTGGAGATAGGAGATCTTGCTGTGTAGTACAAATTGGCCTGGAATTCCTTTTTTTTTTTTTAAAGCATTTATTTGTGTGTGTCTTCTGTTCTATTGCCGTGAAAGGACACTGTGGCCAAGGCAGCTTTTATAAAGTAAGCAAGCAGGCCAGGCATGGTGGCTCAAGCCTTTAATGCCAGCATTTGGTAATCAGAAGCAGGTGGGTCCCTTTGAGTTCAAGGCCAACCTGGTCTACAGAGTAAGGACCTGCCTTAAAATAAATAAATAAAGTAAGCATTATTTAATTGGGGCTTGATCACAGTTTTAGAGGGTTTATCCGTGATCATTGATCATTATGGCAGGAAGTAGGCAGTCATGGCACTTGAGCGACCAGCTTTATAGCCTGAGGGAGAGATATTTTTAAATCTCCAAAGCCCATCCCATAGTGACCCACCTCTTCCAAAAACACCATGACTCATAATGCTTCTCGAACAGTTCCACCTACAGGACCACGCATTCAAACATAGGAGCCCATGGAGGCCACTCTCATTTAAACCACCAGTGTGTGTGTGTGTGTGCGCGCGCGTGTGCATGCGCACGCTTACAGACATCACACATGCCTGTGGAGTCAGAGGATAGTCTGCGGGAATTGAATTCTCTTCTACCAAGTAGGGCCTGGCAGTCAAACTCAGGTCTTCAGGTTGGTTGGCTGTGGCTTTTTCCACTAAGCCATCTCACAGGCCTCAAAACCTTAAATAGACTACAAAATCAGTATGGATTACATAGTAAGACTCTCTCCAAATAAATAAATCCAACACAGAAATAATGATGAATGTTGACTGACTATAGTCTTGATTAAACTAGGAAGTACCTGGGAGACACAGCGCACTCTGGTTTATCTGTGAGGGAGTTTCCAGAGACCATTAATTAAGGGAGCAATGCTCTCCCTGACCATGATTGGCACCATTTCCTAAACTGGAGGCTGGATAGAATAAGGGCACCAGACAAGCATATGGTGCACAAACATGCATGCAAGCAAAACTCAACACATAAAAGAAATATTTAAAAAGGAAAAAGAAACCATTTTTTTTTATTAGTTCAAATTAGGAACAAGCTTGCTTCACATGTCAATCTCTTCTTCCTCTCCTCCCCGCACCCCAGAAATCATGTTTTTGAGAGGGGTTGCTATATATTATAGGTTGGCCTAGAATTTATTACTCACCTGCCTCAGCATCATGAGAGCTGGGACTATTGGCATGCATTGTCACACCCAGCTTTAACCAGCTATTCTCTAGGGCAGAGACAAAGCTATATATTGTGGCTCTGTACTTTAGCCTTCGTATCTATTAATTCAGATTTCAACTATTGAAGAAAATTTTGGCTAGGCAATGTCCATTCTGTACTGACATATTTGGGAATAGGAATCTTTTGAAGATGTCTTTTTTTATTTTTATGTGTCCTAATTTTCTTTGTGTTGCTGTTAGAGAAACACTCTGGCCAAAAGCAACCTTGGGAGGAAAGGCTTTATTTGGCTTGTGCTTCCAGATTAGAATCATTGAGCAAAGTCAGGGCAGAAACTTAGGCAGGAACCTAGAGGTAAGAACCTTGAAGGCGTGTTGCTTTCTGCCTCTGTGGCTAGTTTAGCAGCCTATGATCAGCTAGCTGTCTATAGGCCAGGCCCACCTTCCTAGGGAAGGTGCCACCCATAGAAGACCAGACCCTCCCACATCACAGCCATAAGACAATCATCATAAACACAGCTGCAGGCCAATCTGATCAGGGAAATCCCACAGAAGACTCTGAGCTGCATCTGGCTGATGATGGAGGCCAAACAGAACAGTGTGTGTTTATGTGTATGGGTTGTCTTGGAAGCCAAAGGAAGGCCACACCACAATTCAGGACATGGGGCATGCTCTGTGAATAGGCTGAGCAAGCTGATGGCATAGCTGTCATAGAATGTTTGTCTAGCATGCACAAGTCCCTAGGCTTGATTCCCCACCATTGAGAAAAGGATACTTATGGCACGCACCAAGTTATTTAAGCCTGTTTACCACCATCTCTAGCAGCAGGAGTTGCTTTCTTCCCAAACAGATTTGTATATCCCATGGACATGAAAGTGAAAGGCGAAGATGAAAGAGAATTTACAGGCAGTCTCATAACCAAATAGCACAGCACCATTTTATGTCATATCCCAAAGGGCTGCAAAGAAGTAAAAGACAAATTTACACACACATAAGCACACATGGGACCACACAGGAGACAGATAAGGAACAAAAGTCTGAAACAAACCTGGCCAAGCATAGTGTGGTAGGTCATGTCTGTGTTTTGGCAGCTGAGAGGTTGAGGCAAGAGGATTGCTAGTGAAGCCATCTTGGGCCACATAGTAAAACCCTCCAAAGACATGGCTAGCCAGTCATGACCAGTGATCCCTATAATCTCAGCACTTGGAAAGCTGAAGCAGGATTACAAATTCAAGGTGAGCCTAAGATAGACAGAGCCTGTATGAAAAGAAAAACAAACAAAAGCTAAGGATAGGGATGTAGTCAGTAGTCTTTGCCTAGAAGGTATATCCTTACATGTGTGTGGAAATCTGTCTAAGCCCAGCAACCTGCCTCAGCGCCTTCAATAGGTCAATGGAACTTCCCACTATGGACCAGCCGCCAAGGGCACACTGCAACGACCAGCAAGGTTTAGCAAGTAAAAAATGGAATCATTCCTTTATTGTAAAAATTCCTTTAATGATTTCTGTGCTTTTCCTTATAAGAATAAAAGATGGCAGTTAATGGTCACAACTGAAAACCAGAGAACTGGACAAAAATCACATTTATTTCAACAGTTCTGGGTGCAGATTGAAGTCAGTTCACAAAGCTCAAGACACAACTTCATTGAACACTTGACACACAAAAATGAGGGATTGACAGCATAAATGAGCTCCTTGGTTTAAAAAACATCAAGTAATTTGAAAATCTTTAGACTATAATATTCTATATACATTACGTAAGAAATGAGTCGATTTACAAGATGCCAATAAAGTTACTAAGATCCTTCACAGAAAGAATAGTCATAAACCGGTCAGCCCCAGACCAGAGTGGGTTTCAGTCACTTGCTCTGTCAGCTAATAATATATTCAATTCACGATATTTTCATTTCTAAAAAAACACCATGTCTAAAGTTAACTAGATGGCAAACATTATTGTTGAGAAAGTTTTGAACTGACCAGTGTATGCAAAAGGCTTAAAAGGCAATGTCAACTTCAGCCTCAGGTGGCATGAAGTGATAAATTGTACATTAATACTTCCTCTGACACCTGGAACCTTTTGGTGAGGTGAGCAATATGGCCTTTAAAGCCTCCTCATGAAAACTGTACTTAAATATATATATTTACTTATTTCCACATATACAGAACTTGAACGTAAAGTAGAAAAGTTCCCATCTGGAAGATAATTAAAGGTTACTAATGTTCTTCTTATCACTTAGCAGCTAAGTCCGTGCTTATTTTTGCTCCCCAGAAGCAATGTTAGTTACTAGCTCCAGGTGAGGAAACACATCTCCACGAGGTGTAAGAGGGGTATTCATTCAGTCTTTTTTCCCAAGCTTCTTCAGCTTCTCATTGTAGGCATGATACTGGGCGTCTGTCCCAAAGATTCTGTCCCACCATGTGAAGGTGGATGCGTAATTCCCAATGAAGTTCATGTGGTGGAAATCGTGGTGCCGAGAACCCGTATAAAAGAGGATGAAGTTCAACGGGTTGATAGGAATGTAGTAACCACTGAAATGAAAACGATACAGGTTACTCATGAGACATGTCATTAACAGGCAGCACTCCACTTTGCCCAAATCACTGCATTTCTCACATGTGTACAAAAGACAAACAATGGACAGGGTGTGGTGGCAGACACCACAGTCCCAGTTCTTGGGAGACTGAGCAGAGGGACTAGCAGTTCATGGCTACCCTGGGCTACAGAGTGAGTTCCAGGTCAGCCCGGGCTTTGAGGCCCTAGCTGGAAAACAACAACAACAAAATCTTATAGGAAAAGGTATGTTAGGAAATTTTGAAAACCTTAAAAGATACATGGCAATCTGACGGCAAGAAATGAAAGGCAGAGACTACAGTAATAGAGCAGACGCACATTTTCAAGAAACACTTCTTTCTCTTTAGAGGAGCCTGCCTACCACAATCTAGAAAAGGTGAAAACCAAGTTCATAACTCTACTTATGTTTTTAAGGAAAAGTTGTATGAAATTAGCATCAAGTATTTAAAAAGTTAAAACACCATTGTGCTGCTTTAGTTGGGGAACAAATGACTTCCAAGAGTCTTGTCTGGTCTACTCTCTTGAATTTGGTATCTGAGATTGGACATAACTCCTTGTCACGTCTCCAGTCTGGAAAGGGGCATCTGAAGCACGTCCATATTTTATCAGCAGCTTTCTTACATAAATGGCTTTCATCAGCCACCTAGAGACCAGCAGAGGCTCTAACACCCTCTGAAGACAGAGGTCCTCCATAGCAGGACTAACTGCTGGCCTTGAGCGCTTCACTGGACAAGACACATGCTGTCATTTAACAAATGGTAACAGACCAGTCTATTCAAGAACACCTATTACTTGAACTTTTATTCAATGATTATAATCCTCCCTTTAAAAACAACATGAGAGATGGTGGTGGTTTAGTGCTTGTCAGGCAAGCATGAGGACTGGAGTTCAGATCTCTAGAAACCCACATAAAAGCTGGGTGGCCTGCCTGTAATTGAAGTCTCAAGAGGCAGGGATGGAATATATTCACAGAAGCAAGCTCTCGCTGGCAAGACTTGGGAGTTCTAGGTTTGACTGAGAAACTGTCTCAGAAGAGTGATCATGTTCACACATAAAAAACATTTGTTCACATACAAAAGCAATCATGCTTACATACACCTCCACACACATAAAAACATGCATTCACATACCCAGGCATACCAACATATCTTCTACCTGAACAGAAAGCATTACTTACCTATGGACATCGATGGTTTCTAGCAAACGTACAGTCACCCATGCCCAAAGAAGAATTACATGATCACACAAAAGCACGATTCCAATGAAAAATCCAGTCCCAAGAATTATGGTTTCTAAAGGATGTGCATATTCTGCTTCGATTCCGAATGGAGCCTAAATCAAACAGAGTAAGAATTCCTTAGTATATTGTGATGGTTAATTTTGTATCAATTTCCTGTGATGTGGTGAATGTCTGAACCAGCAAATTTTATTCATGAAGGTGGGTCTTATCTTGACAGTGAGAGGCCTTCCGAACAAGGATGAGGCTTTCCCAAGGAAGAAGGCATTCACATGACAACTATAGACACCATACCTCACTTACGGGCTTGTTGTTCTGCAAAATTTGGGCCTCAGACAGCAAAATCATTTTTTTCTCTTTTGAGGCAGGGTCTATGTAGCTGAAGTTGGCCTTGAACTCATAATACCCCTGTGTCTGCCTAAGTACTGGGATTACAGACATATACCACAAGATGGTATATGTGCAGAGTAGTTTTGTGTTGATTCTTTCTCTGCAGAATTGTTGCAGAATATTTGTTTACACTATGTGAAGAAATGTCACAATGACTGAGTTAATAAAGAAGCGATTGGTCGATAGTTAGGCAGGAGACACTAGCCTGGCCGAATTTCCAGATAGAGAAGAGAAGGAGGAGAAGGAATGTAGGCGTGAAAATTACACCAGCAATCCAACAAGACACAGAGTTGTACATACAGAATAAAAGAAAGGTAAAAAGCCACATGGTAAAAATTAGATTAACAGAAGCAAGTTAATTTAAGTTATAAGAGCTAAGCTATAAGCCTAAGCTAAGGTCAAGCTTTCATAATTAATAAGTCTCCATGTCATTATTTGTGAGCTGGAGACCTACAGAAAAATCTGACTACAAAGAACCTAATGTGTTCAATTTATACAGTATTATAAAATTATATTGTTTGTGTAAGTAGTGATGGTGACCCAGCCATACATATATAAATGATAACAACAGTTCTCAGTAAATTTCTGCCAATCAAAAGGTCTAGTGATATGAATTTTTTAGAAGTCATCTTTTACATAACTTCACCTCTAATTGGACACTTATTTACCTGTTTGTGAGATCTGAGCACAGTTCAGAGGACAACCCTTAGGAGTCAGTTCTCGCCTAAAACCTTGCAGGATCCAGTGACCAAACTCAAGCTACTTGTTCTTTAACTCTTAATTTTTAATTTATGAATCTGTAGTTACTCTACCAACAAAGGAA